TATAGTATATTATATTTCCTATTCCTCGAAATATTACCTGATAATTCTGATGGTAGCAATATATTACATTTATTATATATGTCGTCTCTCTGTTTTCTTTTTCTCATTATTATATTCTTTAAGTAAGATTTAAAAATAGATTAATTCACAATAAAATTATTCATGCATTAAAAATGTATTTATATTTTAATAAACTATATATTTTGTTATTACTAATAGTATGAAATATTATGTAGTATAAATATATATAACGTATATCATAACTAACTTTATACAAAATAATTATAAAAATGGATATTACTATTATTATAACAATTGTAGTTATGATTAATTTGGTTATGTTTAATGGATGGAAAGAAGGTAATAACTGAGGTGTACCATCAGGGCAATTTGTATTTATCATTTGTGCATTATATCTATCTCTAATATTTTCTAGTTCATCACAAAAATCATTGTTACTTTTATGTTTACATTCATCCTCCTGCTGTATATAAAAATTATATAATTTCTTGGCACATGCACATTTATCTTTATCCATATTTTTGATCTCTGTGTCAATTTCATATATATCCTTGAGTTTTTTGAGTTCATTTTTTGTAATTTTTATATCTACAAAATCCTTAAAATTTAAATCTCCTGGTTTATGGTGCGCCTCCAAAAAGCCGTTATATAGATTTTGGATTTCAATATCATTTCCAGTATCCTTCAGGATATCATTATATATCCAATAATATATGTATATACAAGCCGCCCTTTTTAGTTCATCATTGGAGTGGGAACTTTTATATATTTCATTTAAATAAAAATCTGCCTTAGGGCAATTCTGATTAAATTTAGTTTTAATATTAGTTGAAATTCCAGTTACTTGTGTGCAGTATGTAGCTGATATTCCCTGTTCTTGTTCTTTATATTTGTCTAACGTTTCTTTGCATGTTGGAAATAAAGCTACAGATGCATACTAAAAATAAGATAAAAAAATTATTGAAATCAGAACTATATTCTTATATAATTCTTTTTATAATTAATTGTTGTAAATAAAATTAAAATATATTAAAATTTTGCATATAATCTTGAAAATTTTCAATAGTACTATATTATCTTTCATCTTAGATTACATTATATATATTTATTGGACAATAACGTAAAATAAAAATAATTTTATAACATACAAATGAAAATTTACGCAAATAAAGACTTATGATATTAAGAATAATGGTTTTTTTTTTTTTATAACTATATAATTGATGTAAATATATCATGGACCAAACCATAAAATTTTATATAGTATAATGCATAGTAGTAATTATTATTTACCAAAAAAAAAAAAAAAATATATATTGCTAAAGTAAAAATATAAAGGTTCCTTCATGTATAAAAATTATATAATATTAGGAATTCTCGCTATAATAAAAATAAAGCATAAATACTAATATATTCTATTATTATTATATAAAATTAAGGCATAACTTTGTAGTCCTTATTGTACTTTATATAATATCGCATACAGGATGATTAAATAAAAATTATAGACTTAAAATAAATGGGATATATCCTTAATAATTAACACAGTATGGTAAAGAGCATTATGGATCAGATTTTTGAGTTTAGTGTCGCAGTTTATGCTACAATTATGAATGGTACATTTTTAATCATATATATAATATTATATTAGACAGTCATATTTATATATTATTTCTTGCGTTTTATAAGAATATAAAGTATATTGTGTGTAAATTTATTATTTTATATTGAATATACTCCCTGATATTATATAATAGGATGTTTAATTTTTTATTATTTCTTAAAAATGCATATTTTTTTTATAATACATACAATAATATTATGATATATGTTACGTTTAATTACATAAATAATATTGAATATGAAATGTATTTTAAATATATTTGTATCAAATAATGATGTCAACATTAATACATTTTACCTTAAATATAAAAAATTAATAACTTTTATGCTCTATTAAAAGCCTTATATAAATAAATCTTTGATGATATGATTTTTAATATATTACTTATATAAATTAACTGTTTTTTATATAAAGAATATTATATTTTCTCATTTTATTTATTAATTATGTATTTTTAATATATTGAATAATACAAGTATGCACTAATTATATAAATTATGCGAAAAAAAGTTAAATGAACTCTTTATTTACCTACATCGAATTTCCATTTTGCTGCTATATTATTTTTATATAATTTCATAAATTAATAAATAAATTTCATGTGTGCATTTTTATCAATTAATACAAATATTTATTAAATATACATTAACCAGAGTTGGTAAACTATGCATATATACACTTTTTCGCAATTTTCATCGTTATAATATTTTATAAAGACATGATTATTGGGATAACGTATTTATTTTAGATACAATTATATTTTATTTTAATTATTTTTAAGCATATATGTATATATGCATTGTTTCAAAAAGGATAATATACATTTTATGTTATATAGATATAAATTTAGATATTGACTTAGTATGAATTAAATAATAATAATTAATGGATATCTCAAAATTTCATGAATAAATATATTTTTCGAATATAATAATAACGCATTTACACCTATTCTTACGAATTCATATATAAATAAGCGTGAATTATTAAAAAATGTTGTTAGTATATATATTATAGAATATGTTTTCCTTTATATTACCCAGTGTATTGTATATATATTAGATTATATCAGAACTTTATAAAAATAAATTATGAAGATCCTCAGATAGTTGCGTTATTTCACCTTTATTCTATATGCAAGATAGAGTGATTTTACATTTTAATAAAACTAAAAATTAATTATTAATATTTCTATATTCAGTAATGAAGTATTATACGTTTAAATAATATACACTTCTATATATGTAATACGAGTTCAAGTGAAATGTATAATTTTAAATTAAATTTTGTTCGTCAAATACTCTTTAATAAATAATAAAATACCTGAAAATTACCTAAATATATAATATAATATATTATTGTTATTAATTATATAATATTAAGTGAGCTTTTGTTATATAAATGTATATACATAAAAGCGCAAAAATGTTATTAAAATAACACATTTCCTATCGAAAAAAGTTTCTGACGATATTTATTATATAATAATATTCATTATAATAAAAATTATATATTAATTATAATATTTTTTATGTATTTGTTTTTTCTTTTTTTTTCTTTGTAAATAAATTGCTATATTAGGCTCAAATATAATATCCCTTAAATATGAACAAATATGGAATATTATAAAATATATTTCTTTAAATAATAATATGAATATACCATTTAATGTATTGAATAGTTTATTAAATTCAATATATACTTTAAGAATGATTATAATATATACATAAAATTATAC